CCTGCAGAGCAGGGAGCCCGATGTGGGACTCGATCCCAGGATCCTGGGATCATGACCTGAGCCGAAGGCAGTCGCTTAACCGACTGAGCCACCCAGGCGCCCTAGCCTGTACTTTCTAAGGCAGTTTCATTTGGGCCTTAGCAATAATGAAGGAGATAGATATTATGAATACACCCTTTTATAGGGTATGAAAATGAAACAGAGAGATAGTCTCAGTTTCTTATCTATAAAATGAGGATGTTGACCAGGTTTACCTCACAAGTTGTTTAAATAAGTCACAGGTGGCACACAGTAAATATTCAGTCAATGTCATTTGTTATTTTCTCCAGAGAAGTACATAAAGATTAAAAATACTGATTTTTACCTTCTTGGATAACCCACTATTTTTTTTTTAATGTCTTCTTCCTTTGCTATGTAAATTTGCGTGCTTTCTGTGCTCTTTCTTTGCAGTGTATGAGATAAACAATGAAGATGTGGATGCCTTAATGAAGAGCCTGCAGGTCAAATCTTCACCCGTGGTAAATGATGGCGTGGTTCGTTTGAGAGGACTTCCTTATAGTTGCAATGAGAAAGACATCGTAGACTTCTTTGCAGGTGCTTTTCAGTTATATCATGTTTGGGGCCTCATTTTTTTTCCTTATTGTTTCCTTTTATATCTTAAATGAACCTTTTCCTAGGTAACTGCATGCAGTTGTATTAGGTTCTTTAGGGGAGAACTCTTCACTTGTGTTACGAATGTTTATGGATTATGTAAGTGTTTTGACTTATTATGCTAACCTTTGGAGGATGTCACATTTCAGAATTATTTCATGCAGGTTTATTTTACTTTTGAGGAAGATAACCTTTTGCAAGAGTGGCCATATTTGTTTAAGACAGTAACAATTTATATCATTTAAAAGCATTATTGTCTAATTCTTAGCTGTAAAAAATTTAACATTAGTAGTGATGTTAGTCTAAATTCCTGTTTCCCCTATTAACATAATTAATGGCACACACACAAAAAAAGATTGTGTGTTTTAGATGGACTGCATGAATCCTAAGTATTCTGGAAATACAGATGTGTAGGTGTTACTAGCTTTGCCACATAATGATTTTCCTCCCCTTTAGGCATGTATCCAGCTTAGAGACTAGCAAAACAGGCCTAACATTTTACTAATAAAATAAAAAAAGTTACTAGTATGTGAACAAATGTATTAATCCTAAGGATAAAAAAGGCTCCTGTTAGCAGCACTAATTTGTAATAATTTTGTGTCCTAGGACTGAATATAGTAGACATCACTTTTGTCATGGACTACAGAGGGAGAAGAAAAACAGGAGAAGCCTATGTGCAGTTTGAAGAACCAGAAATGGCCAACCAAGCTCTATTGAAACATAGGGAAGAAATTGGTAACCGGTGAGTGAAGCAGATTCTAATAATGCTCAAGTATTATATGTTGGGTCATTTTGATGAATGCACTGTAGTAGAACTGTAAAAATTATCTACAGAAAAGTAGAATAATATGATGACCTGTCAAATGCCCATCACTTAGAATTAACAAATTATTAACATTTGTTATATTTGCTTCATCTGTTTTTTCAGTATGCATCTTTAAAAAACATTTTTTTTATTTTATTTATTTGACAGAGAGATAGAGAGCACAAGTAGGCAGAGCAGCAGGCAGAGGGAGAGGGAGAAGAAGGCTCTCTGCTGAGCAGGGAGCCCGACTCGGGGCTCGATCCCAGGACCGTGGGATCATGACCTGAGCTGAAGGCAGCCGCTTAACGACTGAGCCACCCAGGCACCCCTAAAAAACATTTTCTCATGTGGTCCTAATATCATCACGTCTAACAAAATTGGCGGTAATTTATTGTCTAATGCCTGTCCATAGTCACACTTTCCCATTTATACCAAAATTGTCTTTTCACAGTTTTGTTTTGTTTTTTTTGAGAGATAGCAAGAGAGAGCACTGAGCTGAGAGGAGAAGGAGAAGTAGGTTCCCTGTGAGCAAGGAGCCCAATGAGGGGCTCAATCCCAGGATCCTGGGACCGTGACCTGTGCCGAAGGCAGATGCTCAACTCACTGAGCCACCCAGGCACCACTCAGAGTTGTTATTTTTTTTTTTCTTCTTTGGTACCAGAATCTAGATATGGTCCACACATGGCATTTGATAGTTAATATCTACAGTTCTCTTAAACTAGAGCAAGTCTCCTTCTCCTTTATGTTTTTATTCCCTTCCCCTTTTTAAATGCAATTAACTTTTGAGGAAGTTGAGTCAATCACCCTGTACAATGTCTCATGTTTTATGTTGATCTTATTGCTTCTTCATGGTGTCGCTTTGTTCCTTTGTATCTGTTATTTCCTGAAAACTGGAAGTTCAAGCTAAAGTCTTGAATTGAATCAGGCTAACATTTTGATACAGATACACTATAGATATTGTTTTATACTGTATATCACATCACATTGGATGCATGTAGTGTTGGATGGGTTCATTTGTGTCAAATTTGGAGGAGTACTCAAAAGTGTCAGAGTTTAGATTGCTGTTTTGCTACTTTCTGGCTGTTTTATTTGGCTCCTTTGAAGTTTTAAAAAAATGAAAAGCTATTTTAAAGCTATGTATTTTAGGATCTATGTATAGAATTGATTTAGAGGTCTTTGTTAAATTTTTTAAAAATAAAAATGGTTTTGCAAAGCATCCTCTTCTCCCTTTTTTTTTAGTACTCTTCACATTTTCTTATAATATGTCTTAGAACAAACCAGTGCTATTTTTTTTTTTTAAAGATTTTATTTATTTATTTGACAGAGACACAGCGAGAGAGGGAACACAAGCAGGGGGAGTGGGAGAGGGAGAAGCAGGCTTCCCGCGGAGCAGGGAGCCCGATGCGGGGCTCGGTCCCAGGACCCTGGGATCATGACCTGAGCCGAAGGCAGACGCTTAACGACTGAGCCACCCAGGCGCCCCTCAGTGCTATGTTTTTATGTGGGAACATTATGGCAGTCTATAAATCTCTTCAGTAAATTAAGTGGTGCCTATCTTTATAGATCTATAAATACAAATGATTTTTGCAATTCAGGCTTAATAACCTAATTGGAAAAGCAGTATTGAGAAAAAAAGAAACTGGTTTCAGAAGCTTGGATTTAATAGATAATCCCACTGCCAAGCAGGTAGCAAATCAGAATTGACATTTAGTTCATGAATTCTCATTGGCGTCTTATTGAAGTTCTGGGGGTTTTTAGCTCCTCATATACTCTGACTTTTAATATCTTACACAGATATCATTAATTTTCACAGAATTGGGCGCCTGGGTGGCTCAGTTGGTTAAGCGACTGCCTTCGGTTCAGGTCATGATCCTGGAGTCCCGGGATCGAGTCCTGCATTGGGCTCCCTGCTCGGCGGGGAGTCTGCTTCTCCCTCTCACCCTCCCCCCTCTCCCCCCCCGCCCTCCCAGTCCTCCTATTGGGCCCCAGAACAAGGGACGCTCTCCCAGGCCTCGGGTTTTCTCCTTGTTTTGTTCTCTCGAGTCTCTGGTCGGTTGGGCAGTGTAAGTGTGGCTAGGGGTGAATGTTGAGGCCTTGTTCCCCGCCGGCCCATGGTAGGTTTTGTGAGGCTGTTGACGCCCCAACCCCGCATCCCTGTCGCTCTCCGCCCGCTGGTTGTGAAGTTGGGAGGCCAGACCCGCGGAGGGTTGGGAGTTTCCGTGCAGCCAGAGCTCTAGGCCTAGGCGGCCCTGGCGCGCCTCGCAGCCTGCTGATGGGAAGGTTCACGCACAGAGTTACGTGGGCTGGGTCGGTGGGGAAGGAAGCTCGTCGCCAGCGCTCCCTACTCTCCCGTGCCCCTGGGGAAAGGCGGGCTGCCCCATTTACTGAAGGTCACCTCTGCACTGCCACCTCCTTTAGCAGAAGGACCTTTAGGACCATGGGTCGCCGCCGACGGGGAGGACAGCGTGGAGACTGATGTCGGGGTGGGGGGGTGGCTAGAAGAGGGGACGCCTAGAGGTAAGGCCACGACTTGGGGACCCAGGAGTGAATCTACAGTGTTTTCTTTTTTAAAGTCACTGTGTCCTTTAAGAACTCAGATTGCAAATATTTTGTGCCTTGTAGGAAGGTTTCTTTTCTGCGTGTTCCGTGGTATCTGGGAAATATCAGCTCACGTTTCGACTACCCAGCTCTGGATATCTTGGATCATATTTATCTTAATTCAATTTGTGCTTCTCCTTGAACTTAGGGAAACTGGGAGGCTAATCAGCATGGCTTCTCTCTGCCAGTGGCTGAGCTAATTGATTTGAATCCTGGCCCAATACTTTGTGCTGCCCTTTTCGGTAAAAGCTTGTGGTGCGTGTGGAATTCTGGGAAAATGGGGACTGTTACCTTTATTTTATTTTTTTTTTAAAGATTTTATTTATTTATTTGACAGAGAGAGACACAGCGAGAGAGGGAACACAAGCAGGGGGAGTGGAGGAGGGAGAAGTAGGCTTCCCGCTGAGCAGGGAGCCCGATGCGGGGCTCCATCCCAGGACCCTGGGATCATGACCTGAGCCGAAGGCAGGTCTGCTTTAACGACTGAGCCACCCAGGCGCCCCGACTGTTACCTTTATTTAAAAAACACGAACTATCTCTAGTAAGCCTTTGCGAGCTAGCTACTCTCTTGATTTTTTTTTTCTGTGAAATTGACTGTAATGATATCTGTTGAGCCTCTACTAGTGTTACACACTGTGCTTACATTTATCATTGACTTCCTAAAATTTTACGTACGTCTTCATGAAAATGATGGGAACGTACAAAGGAGTGAAGTATCTCCGTAGCACGATAGATTGCAAGTCACTTGACTTAAAGCCTGAGTTGTCTTTCCACATTGGTAATTGTAGTGCTTGTTGCATTTTTATGAAGTATGTCAAAGACATCTGCTAGAGGTTTACGTTTATCTTTTTTTTTTTTTTTAAAGATTTTATTTATTTGAGAGAGAGAGAATGAGAGAGAGCACGAGAGGGAAGAGGGCAGAGGGAGAAGCAGACCCCCTGCTGAGCAGGGAGCC